TCCTTGCCAGTATCCTTCTCGAGAACGGAGGAACACCATTTGACATCGTACCTTAATTCTCTCCACGCATGTTCCGCGTTGAATTTAAAGCCCTGATCATTTTCAAAGAAGTTCAACGCAGCCTTCATCACATCATTGTCACTCCTCCCGCTTTTCTGGTCCCTCAGTGCAGCCTCGTAACAGCCAGAAAATTTGCAGACCAAATCATTGATCCTGGCCCATCTTTGCTTGCATTGTCCAATTTCTCGTGGGACACATCCAACCAGTTGAGGACTAGAGTTGTAATACTCCACGATCCTCTTCCAGAATGCAACTGCTTTTTGGTCGTTACTAACTATCGGGTCTTTGCTCGTGTTGAGCCAAGCACCGATGAGGATTACATCCTCCTTCGATGTCCACTTTCTCCTCTCTTTCACAGTTGACTCATCAGAACACTTGCTCGTAAAGGAAACAGGTTCTGATGAGTCAAGATCCACTACCCCTTGACTCGTTAAAAGATTCACAAAACTTGTGTTTGACATTTTGGATTAACTCTCTACGTTGTGTTTCTCTAGTACAAACGCATACCCACTATATACAACAAGTTTCTACACTCAATTGTAGTAGGAAATTGTCCTATCGTGGCAGCTATATGCAATTAAATGAATCTTTACTTCAAAATAAGCAGTTAGGCAAAATTTAATGGTTGCTTAGTGTGCATTTATAACCTATCCACTTTCTATCTAATTGGTACAAGGCAATTAATGAAACTACAGCCCTACGTTTAAAGTAGATAGATTTAAAACTACACCAGTGTTAATGTTTTCAAACTACAAGCAGTGTTAATGTTTTAAAACTACACCAGTGTTAATGTTTTCAAACTACAAGCAGTGTTAACGCAGTTATCTATTTGTTATCTAACAGTTCACTTATAACCTATCAATTTACAACTAAAGACTTACAATGAGAAGACGTTAAGTTCAGAGTCTAACCTCAACGAACTCGCTCAAGGTCATAGACACGCCTTAGCAGCATCCTCACCTGGTCCTGAACACACGTCGAAGCAAACAATGGTCATGTTACAAATCTATATATAACTACAATGACTGTAACACAACATAATTATTCTCACCTTAAGTGCTTCACAATCCCTGACAAGCTTCTCGTGCTCGTGGACCCTTTCTTTGAGCCTTTCAATCTCCTCGTGCACACCAGAAACCCAAGGCTGTCTGAAGTGTAACCCGTCGTTCTGCCAAGACAAACAATGAAAATGTTGATGATATTCAGAGAGAAAAGTAAGTATAGTAAGAAAGAGGACAATGCAAACCTTGAAGTCCTTGCAAATGAAATATCTCATCCCCGGGAGATAGTCATAACTATCCTCCTCATCTACAACCTCCTTCGTGATGGATCCACAGGCGCATATTTTAGGAATCCCATGTAGGGTATTTGCAACAAAGTCGAGCTTGTTGTAGTACTCCTTCCGTGCTTTCATGTCTCGGAGCTCGTCGTCCATTTCACAACCTGCAACAACATAAACAAATCGGAGTCTGTAAATCGAAATCTGTAAACTAATATCATATAGATTTAAAACACAAATCAGTAAACAATTCGATTTAGCTCGTAATCCATAAAGAAAACAACAAAGAACCGTAACGAAAGGAACGAAGTAGCTAACCCAGACTAAAAACCTAATTTCGTCAGAATCCCCAAATCGATTTTAAACACAAATCAGTATACAATACGATTTAGAAGGTAACCCATAAAGTAAACAACAAAGAACCGCAAGGAAAGGAATGAATTAGCAAACCCAAGTAAAAGCCCTAATTTTTTCAAAATCCCCAAATCGATTTCACTGAAAAAATCTATAAAAACTCACACTAGAGCACCACAAACTATTGAAATCAACATGCAACAACTCCAGATCGACAAAAAAATCAAGTACACGTCTTCGATTTACCTTGAACAACGATCGTCGACTTTTCGACTTCTCTATCGCCTTCGACTCGAGAGCTTGTTTTTTTTTTTATGTTGGTCGACTGAATGAAATTTCTTTTTCCCTAAAATCGGATTTTCGACCCACCAAAGGCCCAAACGAGCAGGACACGTCACGAAGGATCAGCATCTTCCTCTCCTTAAACAAGGATTAATCCTTAGCCGTGATAATTAAAATATTACTTTTTTCTTTACTTTTGCCAACGTGTCACAGCTAAGGATTGCAAGGAGTCCCGCGTTGGACATGCTCTAAGAGTTTTTGATCCTTTGATGAAAATTGTATTTTTGAAGATGTCCCCTTCTTAAAGTAAATGTGAATTAGTGTACCTAAAAGTGAGTATTTATGCAATTCTCCCAAAATATACATAAAATAGGAATGAATGCATGTAGTTGGTCATTTGAGTGTACTTTGTTAATGTGTAAAAATATCTTAAAATCAAATAGCACAATTAATTATCTATTTACAAAACCGGTAGAGAATCATGCAATAATTAGTGTAAAAGTTAGTGAGGTAACTAATGAAGTAATGATATCACTTTCGAATCTTAATTAATTCTTAATGGTGGTGTTAGTTGTTACTTAATGTCCAAACAAATGGTGAGCTAACTGCACGGAGATAAGATACACGACAACGGTGGTACGTGGTTATTTCTTACTCCACATTCTATCCTTTTTACGCTAACCGCGCACCTGTAAACCAATTCTTTTTGGTTAACCAACTCTATTTGCTGACATAAGCACTTTTGATTGCTTTTGGTTCTTTGTATTTATTTTCCCCCAGGATGTGCATTATCACCATTTGACATATTTAACAAAGTGCGTAATCTTATAGACAAAAAAATGTTTGGCAAAAATAAAGAGGGGCAACTTTTCGTATTTGTTGGGTGGCAATCTTCTAAAAAAGGTCTTTGATGAACATGATACCACTAAATACCCTAAATCTTTATAACCAATCGCTAGGGGGCTCACCATGAGTTTCAACTTGATGCGTCATCATTTGATGGCGTCGAACTCAGCCCTACCCACCCGTCCTTTTGGCTCCATATCTTTGACTTTTTATGTGCTTCACAAAACAATATTTTGATGACAATTAAATATCATTACGCAAAATACGTTTTTTTTGTTGTCAAAACTAAGCTCCTTTGGTGAGGGAACACCATCCGTTCTAGGTTTCTTCGACAGTTCGACGTCATCTTTCCATAGACGATTTATATAGTACATGGAATCCATGCAGTAATCTTTTTACATTCAGTTTATTGTATCTATTTGATAAACAAATATAAAAGTCATGCTGCAATACGAGTTGAATACCCAAGGTTTCATTATTTCTTGATGGAAATTTCTATGTGTAATTAAAATTCTTGTGAGTTTCATCAATTATATAAGTCCGTATTGCGTTCTTCCGACATATCAACTCGATATAAAAGAAAAAACTCTCTGTGAGAACATGAATTGCTTAATCATGAAGATATTTTTGGTCAGCATTTTTATTTGTCAACCTTGTAGAAAAAAAAACATATCATAAGAACATTAACTCCCCAAAAGTGTTTCAAAAAAAGAAAAGAATATTAACAATATAACAAGCACATCCGTATGGCAGGCAGTCCCGACTCTTACCCATGGTAAAAGGGGCATGGACTATGGTCCAAATTTTTTTTACATAAATAATAAAAAAATGGTCTAATTTTTTTTTTAAAAAACTCAATTTTAAAGAAAAATAGCCAATTTTAAGGAAAAATTGCTCAATTTTCATAATAAAATATAAATAATAAAAAAAATCCAGTTTTTATAAAAAAACATATGAAGTGCTCTACATTTTTTTTTAAATAGTATAAATATATGTAAAAAAAAAATTTGCCATAGACCAAAAATATTTTTGAACCGGCCTAATCGCAGGCGGCATTGAAAACTTCTTTGACAAAGCCTTAAAGTTGACAATAGTATTAATTAACGAGGATTGTACGGCGGTTAACCTAATCCTTCGAATTAATATTTCAAGTGCACCAAAAAGAGAGGAACCTTGAGTGGTCAACAGTTAACACCAAAGACCAAACATCTGCTTAAGTAAATGCAGGGTCGGCGTTGGGTAAAGCCGGATGAAACATTGGCCTTGGTGCCTAAATTTTTATGAAAAATTTATATGTATATTAGTTTCCAAAAAAAGATTTTATACTCCCAAATCGGTAAAGAAAATAATTTAGGTGAAATCGTTCAAAAATCGCCTTAGGCCCCCATAATTCTCGGAGCTGGCTCTGAGTAAATGTATATTCAAAACCCCATGAAGACTGCCGCGTTACATGACCATGTGATTTAGAGAAATGTGACATATACTTCTGACTAAGTCTTAAAGTAAACAAATATTGTTAAGCAAAAAAAAAAAAAAAAGATAAATACTAGTCTTGTAATTTCTTATCTTCAATGCATGGTGTTTCGTTTACGCGCATGAGCTTGTGACATAAGGCGTTGGTGTTGAAGGGATATTAGTTTAATCTCTCATTCTTGGACTATAATTGGCTATAGCTACTATATGCGAATAGTATAATATCCAACTGTGGTTTTCCAAATGTGGGTTCAAAATCAACATTAACTAAACACAGAAATGATGATAGTTTGTTTATGTACATTATTAGGTGAATACGATTAACTACCCCTGTCAAGTTGGGGAGAACTAAAAATCTGTTATTAAACAAACATAAAGCAGAATAAAGATGATGTGAAAGTTTATGAGTTTTTTTTTTTAATTTGTAGAATAATCGGTATTAAAAAAATATTATAGTGGCTCTGGCGAAAAGAAAAAGCCTGAAAGGGTGTTTTGTAAGTGTATTTTGGATTATGGAATTTTGCAACGTATCTCTGTTTCTCTCTCTTTTCACAAACAACATCATGCTTCCATCTCCATTATCATGATTCCAATGCTTTGGTTTTGCTTTTAGAAAAGAAGATAGGATTGCAAACTTTGTATATGTACCTACCTACACAATCCAATTTATACACACCTTCATATACTCAATAATCGACTATTGTTTCACAAACACTTCGCATTACGATATCCTAAGAGTATGCTGGAGATTTTACCTCTTACAGTAGTTTGGTTTTGCCAAATTTAAAGATAAATCAGTAACACATATCGCTAATTTAGTTAAGCTGAAATCTAATAACTGGACTTGGACTTGTTGCAAAATCGTCGGTTTGACCTAAGAAGAACATACATAAACAGTAGCACAAACTTGTGAGAAACATTTACACCATGTGTTTGTCATCAGCCGTTATAATTAGATTCAAAGACAATTTTTCCTGGATTGAATCTGTCTTTTGGTAGATGGAAGGCATCACGTTCTCCAATAAACATTGCTCCGTTTGATGCATCATCATCAAACATCACCATTCAACTAGTCTGAGATTTGGACAATGACATGATCTACTTTGCAGCATTATCTTGAATGCTGGAGTCTCTGTTCAACGTCAGAGACTTGGAGCTTTTTCACCTGCTCAGTTTCGCATTTTCATTGCAGAGTCTAGTAACTTCTTCGGCCAAATTCTGGAGTTCAACAGCTGCAGCAGACGCCAATTCTTTAGCATAAGAGGCTTCCTCTGTGAGTTTCTTATTAAGTTTTCCAAGCTCATCTTTTTCCTCAATCAGTCTCATATTCTCCTTCTTCAGATTCTCTATTTCCATAGCCTAGTGGTACAATAAATATAAACCCGATATAACATGATTTTACCACAATGACTTGGTTGCGGCTGGAAGATGAAGAAATGAACAAACTTTTGTATGAGAAACATACCTGAGAGTTGAGGGTTGTTCCGTCTTTGATCTCTTCCTGAGCAAACACTCTATTTAAGCTCATCACGCTGGTCGGTGTTCCTGCTCCAGAATAGATTTCTGACTCATCACCATTTCTGTTGTGAGTATTCCTTCCTGATGATTCGTCTCCTGCGTTTTGCTGCTCTGTATATGTTGATTGTCTCTCGGCTAATGAATCGAGTTGTTGCCTTAGCAGCACGATCGTTTCCTGCATCTCAGCCTTCTCTGATTTCTGTGCATATTAAGTAATGATAAACTTTAAACTGATGAATCGTTCAGACTTCGGAAAAAAATGGAGTTTTCAGACTTACAGTTATCTCGAGCTGCTCCTGAAGTATCCTATTGTCTGCAGACTTTATCTTGAAAAAGGCGTTTCATAGAAAATATTTTCACCAAATCTGATTTAACAATACTGAGAAGTAATGAGAGCAAAGAAAAATAAATACCTCATGTTCGAAGATTTTCTCATTTAGTTGCGTAGTGAGCTTCGACAAAACCTATATCAAGCAAAAACAAGAAAATATTATCCAACAAGTGTATTGAATTGGATTCATATAAGCAGATAGTTTTGAAGGAAACATCAACAGGAAGAAATTGCAACTCTTGTTTTGTGCATCAACCTGGGACATTCCAAGAGAGTCTGTGGTATCACTCATTCCGAAAGTTTCAATCATCTGTTGCTCGAGTGCACGTATTTGATCCTTCTTTTCTCTGATTTCATCTTCCAGTTTCTGTATTTGATCCTGCATTCAACAATGAAAACATGAAAGAAGCACTATGTTATATGCTAATAATTTGAGCACTGTTAAGGAAGGATCACACGGAAGGAAAGCTCACTCTTATATGGAAATCTTCAGGGTTGCGAGCGGCTTGTTCAGAAAGTCTTTTCAGCGAACCGGTACGCAATGCTACTTCCCCAACTAGTATTTTTGTTTGCTCGTGAAGAAGATCCATTTGATCCGTTATAGTAGTTGCAATCTAACGTAAATCATTTTGCTTATTATGTCAGTAATAAGCTACAGAATGACCACTTTCAAAAACCTAGGAACTGCCATGTATAATTGTAACTATATTATCTCACCAGAGAAGGGTCTCCTGATCCAACAGTTGCACTGAATAAGTCTCCTGCCACAGCTCTTTCAGGAAAAGACTTGTTTGTTGCTGCATTATCTCTTCTGGTTGATTTTGTTTGTGCACACTTAGAGGAAGATGATGCAGATCCATTTGTAGAGTTCTGGTTACCATCAGTCAGCGATGTCCCGGCCACACCATCAGATTTCTGCAGCATACATATTATGGGCCTAGTTTTTAACACGTTTATGAATCATATTTGCTGAAGCAGGTCTAAAATGGTTAGCATGTAAAATATTTTTTATAGGACCATTCTTAAAATCAGTTCACATCGTGTCCTAATTCCACTATGCATTTTGATACAACAGAGAGGAAGAGTAGAACTTACTTTCAGTTTTAGCCAGCCAAGCATTCCTCCACGAGTTTTATTCTTTTTCCGGTCCTTTGTCATCTCATCCAGGCTACTAGTTCCACCATCTCGTGGCTCCCTGAATTGTTCAGAAACTGTGCTTCTAGCATTCTCATCAGCCATGTTCTCCCGTCTTCTATCGGGCAAGTAAGCCAGCTGCGGAAATCATGGTGTAAATGTTAAACATCACTAACATATGACATAAAATCTAGAAAATTAAAGATTAGCGTTCCATCAAGATGGAATCATATCCTCAAAAAACTTTGAATTAGCGTACATACCTCATCCTCTCCAAAAGTATGCCTCCATATATGGTCAGGTTTTACAGAACTTTTTCCTTGCAGTGAACTTTTTGTTGAAACCAAGATTAGTTTTGTCAAACGCTGAATTCTTCCCATCAGAGCTGCTTTGGCTTCATCCTCCTCGTCCTCCAACCTTGACTGGTGCTTAACCGGGCCAGATTTTACCTTATAAAATGACAGAGAGAACAATGAAAGCAATGTACGTTATTTCTGGAGAACGCAACTTTAAGTGTACAGATATAACCAACAGATTTTGAAAAGATAAAGTTGATTAAACATTAATCACTTCAAAAAATTTAATTGGTTAGTAAGTGCCTAGTACGCATAGAAGAGCTTCATTCAGTGTTTTATAACATATATGCTACAAAGACAAGAAAAGTCCCGAGGAATTATCTGCATACACCAACCTGAACCTTTCGATCCGCCAAATCTTCTTGGTTAGACGTAGACATAGAAACCCCTTGCTTCAATTGCGTAAGTTCATCTTGTAAACATGATATTTCTTTCTGATACTTCTTTATTAGGGACTTCTCATCCATAATCTATTTACGAAGTTGTAAAATATCAAAGATTAGAGCTCTTGCGAATTTAAGGAACTCCAGAGACATCAAAACCATAAAAGCACCTTATTTCGTGAGGCTTTGATTTCAACATGCTTGCACCTCTGAGCGAATTTCAGTGTGTTGTGCGTCTCTTCACTTGTACTGGATGCAGGTGTGATAGTGCAAATAAGCTGCAAATAAACGCAGAGTAAGAAAGCCAATATTGATACAGCAGCCTCTTACTTGATCCGGATTTCTACAAAAAGAGCTGTCAACAGATGAATTCATCACCAAAAGAAATACATCTGGCTTTCCGGAACTACTCAAATAAAGTATAATTTTGACTTAATTAAGAAACCTACTGATACTCGTCCATGACCACTAAGTGTTGATTGCAAGAGACGAGTAAGTTTAGAATCCCTATATGGTATATGAGCTGCCTTGGTGTCTGTCAATTTAGATATAACCTGAAGATGGAGATTAGAAGTTTAGTCACGCTTATATATAGAGATGATTGTTGTAACACTGAAAGAGAACTTCCTTACAGTTCCCAGGGTGAGTAAACTTTTATTGATGGAAGATCCCTCTTTCCTCCGCTGTCCAGTTATTTCAGTTTTAGAACTTTCAGATCCGGCAAGATCAATGAGGTGCTGCATTGAACCAAGAATCAGATGTTAGAGAATCAGAATGTCACTGAAAACAATTCTCCGCAAGAAGTGTGACATGCTTCATATACAATAGCAGAATCAGTTTGAGCTGTCTAGTAATTACCAACTGAGAAAGAGTAACGTCTTCTCCGTCATCTCCCTTTCCATGTGGACTGCTTTCTATCGTCTGATACACAAAGAAAACACTTAAGGGAAAGAGGTACATAAAGCGCCCAATTATAAGGCACATGACAAAGGGTCTAAGGCGTATGTGTAGTTGCGATAGAGACAAGAATGATACACTTTAAAGCAATAGGACTTACCAAGGTGAACATTGTGTGGCTGCGACTGCTAAAAAGATTGACATTATTGGAACCAACGTGCCTGTGTTCTGCGATAATTCAGGCAAAGGCAAAGTTTAATAGCAAGGCCCAAACAAAACAGAAATAAGAGAGGTATAACCTTAGGAAGAGAAGAAAAAGTTGACAAACATTTCATACTGAATCATAATGATGCAACAATATTTATCTACATCGTCTAACAAATCCCTTGCAAGAAGATTATAACCATAAAAGCACATAATCTGATTGTTACTGAGGAACCTTTTTTCTTCTAGTTGGCACATGATAATGAAACAATATTATGCGAAAAGTGAGCTGACGTTTATTTTTTAACAGGTACACTACGATCTTATACCTTCTCCAGATGCTATGAGGGATAGAGCATGAGCCGGGGATAAGACGACCTCATCTTTAATGCCTTCAACATATATGCCCTATCAACATAAACACACACTTATGCTAATGAAATTACGACGCAACTGAAGCTTGGATAAACAAAATGATACTGCAAAGCCCAACATCAGAATTAGATTAAACACATAATCCACCGCTGACCTGAGAATCCTCTCGTATCCGTAGATTCTGCCCAGTTGGATCTAGTAAGTCATTAATGACCTGTAAAAATAATTAAAAGAACTCTATAAATTAGACATCAGGTGATTCGACAAGAAATCAACTAGAACTGAACTTAAGAACTAAAACTTATAGCATTCATCTAAGCTTCCGGGTAGCTTCAATTCAAAGGTGCCACAAGACACCATGTCCAATTAAGAATGTGGAAAACAATTCCGTATTAGAAGAAGGTAATGCAAATAAATAATGGAGTCAGAACCTACCTCGTTGTATATCTCAAGATATGAAACACGAAGAAGAAATTCCCGTTCTGGTGTCTGGATAGCTGAAACATAGTTAGCTAAAGAAGCGAGTGCCAAATCCTATTAAGAAGACACAACTAAAGAGTAACCAATCACCTCCTGAATAATGCTGAACACATCCTTTACAGCCAACGGGATTATTCCAGGTGACCTTTGCTCCCCCTAAATGCAAAATGTGTAGACAGTCAACGTCTAATAGGCACGAGTGCCAAGTAAATGTGCATTAGAGAAACACCTTCGGATATCTTTTGAACACGTGATACACATATAATAATTTACTTTAATTCTAACAAGAACGATGGAAAGACATCCTATATCTCAGTGAGCACAAAATCTCTAAAATGACGATTAAAAATAGTAGAAAAAGGTTTTGATCGCAAATAACTTGCCTAATTAGTCATGTTCAATTTTGCCGCAGATTTTCAGAAGAAACATGAAGATATATCTCAACCTCTCTAAAAATAGTAACTTACATGCATTGTATGAGTCTTGCCACTGCTAGTAACTCCATAAGCAAACACAGTACCTGAAAATAAGCAAGGAAGAATTTTCTTCAAGCCAAAGAGTTGGAAAGCTCCCAACATCAAGAGTTGTCTTTTTAAATCCCTTAGAGAAGAAACTAACTAAGAGATAAAGATTGAAAAACATGAAACATACCATTAATTCCAGACATAGCCCCACTAACAACTTGCTGAGCAGCAGTATCATAAACACGACGGGTTGTAGTTGGTGGACCAAACACTCTATCTGTATCCAAATTAAAAACACACTCACTTGACCAAATCGAGAACAAAGAAAGCAAATACAAGAATCTTCCGGATAAACATTTCAGTAACACTAACCAAATGCATAACAAAGCTCAGGGTTGTACTCGTTCCGAATAGTGTAGTCTCCATCAGCATACCACGCAATCTCATCTCCATTATTCACCTCTCGAGGACTATTCCCAAATTAAACCAAATCAAAATGTCAATTAACCATAAAAAAACATAAACCGGATCCCAATCTCATCATCTCCACATTAACCCTAACCTGAGAGGACGGAAACGAATCGTGACCGTAATATTCTCCTTCAGTTTCGCCGTACCGGAGGAGGTAGACGGAGACGGACTAGAACGTGGACGCGAAGTTGAGGAAGGAGCCGGAGAGGAAGGAGTTACCGGCCGTTTCGTCGGCGGAGATTTGAGAGGACGAGAGGGGGAGATCGTGGAAGATCTCTGTGACCTAGGAGGAGCAGACATTGTTAGGTCTAAAGAGAGTGAGAGAGAGGGAAGAAGAAAGCTCGTTGGCGAAATCAATGGAGGTCACGTCATATACTGTTGTGTATCAGTTTTTTTTTATTTTGTTCCCACTCCCTCCAAAAAAAGAATAAATAATGACTCAAATACCCTCGGATATTCAAGTGCTGCCACCTAATTGGTTACGAAATATTTATCTATTTAAACGATTATTTATTTTACTCTGCAACTATGAAATGCTAAAAGAGTTATTATCACATGGATGAAATATTTAAATAATTTTCTGAACTGACAGAAAGGAATTAAATAAATTTGGTGAGCTGTCTAAATAGTAATATTCTGAATTCAGGATAACAGAGTTGTTGTTGTTGTTTCTAAGAAAAATATACTAATGTTTATCTCAGGAGTCAGGAGAGGCACAGATAAACATTTGTTTTTTTATGTAGTTATGTTTGATTAAAAAGATAATTAACGAAAATGTCCTCACCTAACCGTTATTTCCGAGGGTGTGCTTGGAATAACATCAAGAAAACCGTAGGTTCTGTTAAATCTTAGAATTTGGCGGCATTAATAATAATTAGTTAAGCGGAGGCGAAGATGCATGCCGGATCCTGAAATTTAGGGTGTTACAGTTTGACGTATTTTTTAAATAATTATTACAATTTTATTTAGGATTAATCTGGAGTATATAAGATCTATGGAAAGACCATAAATAGACTATGTCTTCGAATATCCAAATGGATTTTAATTGAGCATAAATCCATATCTATGTAATTGTTGTAAGTGTCCACGAACAATGTGATATATTTTCATATGACAGATAGATCGAATTTAAAATATGCTTAAGGTCCAAATTTCTCTCGTTATGTTGCAAAATATATTTTAACATTTTACACATGTTAATAAAACATACTAAATCTTTGTTATAAATGTGTATTTTATGATTTTTATTTGCTAATTAATTAGAATTTAATAGATACAGTTAATCTTATAAAATTTACAACCTATCTAATTTATTAAAACAGAAGTATCAATATAAATTGCCCCTTAGATATACAAGTTATTTACAATTCAATGTTATCGAGTAATTAAATGAACTTATATTTAAGGTATCTTTGTCTTTTTCAAAATTACTGAAGTACTACTTACTTCTAATTATGTGCATTTCGTGTCTTTCCAAAATTAATAAAATGTTTCCTAAATTGAATTCACAATAAATTCAGTATAAAATTTTTCAAATTATATATTACATATCAATAATATAAACATTAATGCCATAAATAATCAAAAAATATATATGTAATAATATAAGTTACATTTGTCTCATTATCCCCCCCCCACCAAGTCACGATATTTGTTTTTTAAACAAATTAATTTTCACCAATATAAATATATTACATGTACCACTATAATTATTTATCAACTTAACATGTATATAAAATAATTTATTATTTATTACCATAAAATTTTGATCTCAAAAAATAAAAATAAAAACAAAACATTTGTGTTCATATTGTAGAAATGATGGTGATACAATTGATGGTTTACAAGACAAAATAAAATCAATCAATATAAACTATAAAATTACTATGTTTGTAGGTGTCATTATTAGATAATTACTTAACACGAGTAAATTTTGAAAAATATATATTATCACTTAAAATATTTATTTATAAAAAATAAAAAATATCTGCACATACGTGGTTTAAATATACACAAATTTAAATCTATTTATAATTTCTTATCAGTTACATCAAATTTAAATCTTAATTTTTATATTTTCCAAATTTGGTAGAAGTTTAACAATTATTTTATTTTCTTACAAATATTATAGCTAATGTATCATTTCTAATTAACATGCTAATTCATAATTGTCTATTTTCAAACTATTCATTTAAAGAAAAATTATTCGCTATATATCTTATACATGAATCTAATTATATAAATGTTGGATTTGGTTATATGATATTTCATATCGGTGATATATTTTACTCTAAAATACAAAAAATATAAAAAAAGTTAAGTACAACTATAAAATTTACATTTACAAATACAACTACGTTTACAATTATAACATTAAATACAAACACAAACTAAAATATAAAATTAAATACATGTGCAATCGCACGGATCAAGGTTTAATTATTATTATTTGCTAAAACATACATTGGGAATACAAAAATATTTTTTTGAAACAGTTTTGCCTCTAAACATGTATCTATGGGTATGACTGTATGGTTTTTTTGGCCTATGTTACATGGAAACGGAATAGGATACGCGAAAGCGGAATCGTATGAAAGTGCGGAATCGAGATTTTTAAAAAAATAAGAAGCGGATATGTGTTGGAAACGTATAGCCAAATATATATATATATATATATATATATATATATATATATATGTAATTTATAAAATTTATAACTAAGAATTATATGATTCTAATTTAAAATAAAACATTTATTCATTTATCATAATTTTAAATGATTACATATTATAATTATGAAAATACAGATAAATTAAGTTTGTAAACAAATATTACCAATTAGTTATTTTTTACATTTTATAAATAATTGGCACACCATATTTGAATATATATGATATATCTCTAATAAAAATAATGCATACATATGATTTATTGTATGAATATTAGTATTTACAATTTACATATATATATTCTCACTATATATACTATTATATACTATAAAAACATAAAAATGATTTGATATTTTATTTATTTATATATGATATTGTGTTTATAAAATTGGAAGCGTGATTTCAAAATAGAATCGTAAGCTTTCAACATGTTTTTATATAGGATATTTTAGAAGCGTTTTGGAATCGAAATTCCACAAGGTTTCGATTCTGATTTTGGTTCCGAAGTGGGAATCACACTTCCGATAAAGCTTCAGTGCAACATAGGTTTTAGCGTTCCAGATTACACTATTTATGTTGTTACTCCTATTAACGCTTTATTTTCTTTTATTTACTCCACTCACTGTTGAAACAGAGGAAAATATACACTAAGTCATCTTTATGGCATGCATCTTATATGGTTTTTAAGCCAAAAATAGTGGGGGCTCACAAGAAAAAAGAAGGTATGTATGCAGATGTCGCGAAAGAGAATATTTTTAGAGAGTTATTTGTATTGTTCGCGGATTCCACTGATACATGGTGATTGACTATTAGTTACTTTTTAAATTTTAAATCAGCCAAAACATAAAAAAAAAATGTTTTACCGATAATGATGGCCTAAACATTACTCTAGGTTTTATCAGCGTAACTTGTTTTACTTTGTTTTCCACTCTTTCACACTTTTTTATTTCTACCTAATTCCACCTTTTATATTTCACTCAGTTACTCTAAAAAGTACCAATCACACTCTTTGTGAAACAAAAGGAGTATAATATTTTTTTTTTGAACACCAAAAGAGTATAATTTAAGAATCATAATACCTATGTAACCCGCCATGCAAAGATGACGGAGATAGATAGCATTGGGATTGCAATAATGGAGTTGTATTTGTGTGTTGTAGTCGTGCTCCTGGACGACATCGACAACGAGATTCACAGTTGTTGCTTTGTTGCCTAGCGATAACGATAGAGGACATATTACAACGGCTAAATAACTTCAATAATCATGTTTGTTTTTGTGTTTGTTAGTGACAACAACAATGCTTAGTCATTAGTTGTCCTAACTTGTCATCCACCTACTACAAAACGTAAACAAGATTTAGTCGTTGTTGGTGACTATGAAACAAACAACAAAACAAGATCTATAGATTTGAAGGTTGATGAACTAAACTGATGATTCCATGTGTTTTCTTCTTCATTGTGCTTGCCCAAAACAAGCAACATTTCATCTTAAATAATTCATGTTGGTAAAATCTTAAGCAAACGTCTTTTCAAAAAAAAAAAAAAAACTCAGCTAGATAGATAAAGTATATGACAAAAATTAATATGAGATATATATATATTTTTTTTTTTTTTTGAAAAAGGAGATAGAAATAGCTTTTTACACTTTCTCACTGAAGATCGTTTTGTTGTTTTGTAAAATTTATAGCCAAATCTGTTGTGGTCCTTTAATTTTGGGTAAACATCACACGATCTAGCTGTTGCTCCTGAAGCACCATGGAGCCCAGTAGCATAAAGTGTATGAAAATTCAGTTTATAATGTTAAAATTAGTTAAAATTAGTTAAAATATATTTTTCATATAAGTTATATTATTTTCAAACTACTCAATCTGAAAATATTTTATTTCTGAATTTATGGCCTTTCCATATAGAACCATACCAAAAGAATTCACAAACAATTCTCAAACCTCACAAAATCCAAATCAAGAAACAAAATTACTATTTTTGAACATATTTATAACAGAGAAAATTAAAAGTAATTCTTGGGTTCACCAACCAATAGAATTTCATTGTTTTATATTTGGTATCTTTTAGAAAAAAGAAACAAAATATTATTTAGTTATATTTTGTTTTTATAATAAAAAAATAAAAAATAATAGTATTTGCAAACAAAAAACTTTAAAAAAAATATTTTTAATACCATCATCAAAACCCTAAACCCAAAATCCTAAACCCTAAATCCTAAATTCTAAACCCTTGGGTAAACTCTAAATCCTTGAATAAATCTTTGATTTTGTAAAAAAAAATTTTGATACTAACAACAAAACACTAAACCTTAAATTCCAAACCCTAAACCCTTAAGTTAACTCTAAACCCTAAATCCTAAACTCTAAATCATTGGATAAACTATAAACCCTTGAATAAATCTTTGATTTTGTAAAAAATATTTTTGATACTGACAACAAAACACTAAACCCTAAACCTTTAAGTAAACTCTAAACCCTTGGATTAATCATAAATCCTAGGATTTAAGATTTTTCCAAGGGTTGAGGATTTACCCAATGGTTTAGGGTTTAGGATTTAGGTTTAGTGTTTTGCTGGTGTTAATAAAAATATTTTTTTTAAAACGTTTTTTATTTGTAACTACTGTTGGTTTTTATTTATTTTTATCTTTTAATTTTAAAAACATAATATAACTCGATAATATTTTACTGGCTTGAACATATCAGTTAATGCATTGTTAACTAAGGAAATTATCAACAATTTTTATTAGCATAAAATCCAATATTTATGCATTATTACCAAAATTTTATACAAAATTATCAAAACATGTTGCAGCAACTTCACCAATCAGCGATTATATGAATCTCTGAAAGTATAGCTTCCTTTCCCTTGGCCCAAGGGCTCTCCTCCCTTCGTCTCAAATACTTCTGCAAGATTTATATATACCGCACAAGACGACAGAAAGGCAAGTAATTATTCCTTCAAATTAAGGACTAAAAGTACTTCATAGTTAATAAGGAATCAACAGTAATACAATGCAGGTGTACATTTTTTACATTAGAGCTCTTCCTTCAAAGATGGCTTATGTTACTATGTCTTACCATCAAAATATCCTTGGATAAATATTGGAGTCAAGGTTAAATTTAATATTCTTACTAGGCCTTGGCGTTCGGTGGCCCATTCGATTTCGGTCCAGGTTATTTGGATTTTCGGATTTTCGGTGTTATGTTCACAAGTACCATTCGGTTTTTACTAATTATCGGTTCGGATTCGGTTCGGTTCCTTCTGGGTTCGGTTCGGATCGGATCTAACCAATGTTTAAAATCGTCCAAAAATATATTTTTTAGAACCTTGAAAATTGACAAATTTGTTTTTTCAAAATATGTAAATTAATTACAAATCTAATTAAAAATTAGTTAAGCTATCTAAATTAACTAAAAAGTATTCAAAATAACAAATAAAACAAACTACTAAAATATTTTGAATACACTAAAATATCTAAATCACCTTAACATATATAAAAACATTAACATATTTAACTAATTTCGGATATCTTCGGATACTAATTCGGATTTCGGTTCGGTTCGGATTATAACCATAGTCCAAAGTACTAAGCTCACAAGTCCCGTTCGGATATTTTTGTAAAACAGTTCGGATTCGGTTTCGGTTTTTCCAGTTCGGGTTAAGGTCGGTATTTCGGGTTGAGTTAAAAACGGCCAGGCCTAATTCTTACCCTATTAGTTATAGTGTTATTTTTCTTATTAAAAATAGGATTTCACTTCTTCCCTATAAATAGAGACTTCCATCTTCTTTGTGACCTATCAAAAATCTAAAGCGAAGTTAGGTAGAGATCTCGAAAGACCCAAACCCTAGCCTTCAGATCTTTCTCTTTTCTTCTCTCTTCTAGTTAAATGGTTGAAACAAAGTATACTCGGATAAGAAATAGAGCCATATTTATATAGCAGTCCACTGGGCTGTCTTTGTTTAAGCAAAGATTCCAAAATAAATATCAAACAACAAACGCAAATGAGAAAAGCATGTACTTTTGGAGACTGGCATATTTATTTCTTCAGGTTCTGCGAGGACCATGGTGAACTCGAGATCTTCGTTTTGAACCTTTCCGTGCGAACTTAGACTCTCTGCTCACTCTAATACCATGAACCGGACCAACACCACCACCAACATGTTGGCTCAAACCAGAGTCAGAAGAAGGATGCTCTTTCCTCACACCAACACTAACACGATGGCTCCTCGGTCTCAGAGACTTTCTAAGGCGCTCTTCTTTCCTCATTTCTCGTCTCGACCTATGGTATCTAAACGACTCATCATCATCATCATCATTGTCTTCGTCACTATAATCATCAGCGTCTTCCTCTGTATATCTGCGGTTTCTACGTCTTCTTCTACGTTTGATGTGTAGCAGATCATAGCAGAAGAAAGTGCAGCAATTACTAAGAATGTAGAACCAACAAGAGACTAAAGCCCAGAGGAAGCCGAAGAAACCGTGGATGATACAATGCCAGAAACCAATTTTGTACAACATGTAGATGAAGAAGAGAAACAAGTAGGCTACGATTAGGATCAATGCGGCTTTCGCAAGACTAGCAACACAGAAATTCTCTACGTAGCATAGCACATCCCACGGTGATGGACAGAGCGAACTATTTCCAAGTAAAGATACTTTTTAGTGTCAGATAAACAGATACAATAAACTTTGAAGAAGATAAACATATATGTATGATCTGATCGATCACATGATGGTTTTTGAAAGATACCTGCAAGATTTTCCAGATAGAAAGTCAAGCGGAGAACCAAAGAAGTTTCCTAGAGAATGAACGAAACCTGTGAAGAACGAGTCCATCACACGACCACTGACTTCTGATTTTAGATTACTCTTCGATCATTAAGCAGAACGAGTTATGATAAGGCATTAGAGAAGCCACTGTAACTGCTTTAGATCTGGTTGTAAAACTGTATTTTCACGATTTTTAATATATTTTTCTTTTAAGAAGTAGAATGATAATAAAAAACCAGGGAGTACAGTGCATGCGTTAACTCTAGGAATTAAAATAAAATATCCAAAGAGGGGGAAATTCAAACTTCATCCACAAGTCATAACTTCAGAGAGTGCATGGTTCTATGATTAAAACGGATTACAGCCGAAACAACAACTTGGATAAAAGCAAATGATGATGGTGAATCAGATCAATCCATCCTTCCCTTAAGGATCCTCTCTTTAATCTCGGTTGGTGTTCTGCAACAATATCACCAACAAAATAATGTTTAAGAACAAATTTTGCATAACAAAAACGTGGGAGAAGAAACCCATTGAGAAAGAAATTGGAAACTTACACAACGTAGACATGGCCTCCCCATCCACTCAGACAATCACGGTCAACTGATGAGAGAAGTGCTTGTGATATCGTCTCAAACAATTCCTCAGCTTCCTGAAAATCCCAATTTGTTAAACCAAAGTCTTGATACAAAGGTCTAAGCAACAATGGAAGATATCCAAGAGAAAATAATGGCTATTGAGAATCCTACGAGTGTTATGCAGCCTAATTTTTCGCACAAATTAAAACTCTACTTTAAATACACAGCAACACTGAACCTTAAGCATACCAAGCTTCAACGCAGAAGTGTGGTAATTTAAGAATTATCATTGAAGGGATTCGGTAATTAAAAACAGAGATGAAAGAGTTGAAAGAAGACAAACCATATCAGGCTTGTACATAGCTTCGCAGGCACCATACAGAGATTCTGAAGCAGTTCCAGATACAACGAAATCTTTAGCCAACTCCCTGCATTTTTTTTTTTACAATAGCACCACAAGTATTAATAACATGTCCACTATTATATCAAGCAACAAACGAAATGCGAGAGAGAAATGGAAAACTCAATCTCGATACAGCAAAAGATAGCTAACACGAGTGAAACCGAATAACGATAGTATTTCACCCAAAAACATATTAGTATACATCATTAGATCACAATTCCAACAAAATCTCAAACCACAAGAAAAATAAAAGACATCTCTACAAATAACAAGAATTGCAGACAGTAGACTACGGAGCTAATTGATACTGAATAAGAGAATCTACATCATTACAAAACAAACAAGAAAAGGGTATGAGCTTACTTGGCTCCAATGGAGTCCATTGTGCAGATAAAAGGCTTATCATCTTCTCCTAAGCCGGCAATCACTGGTTGACATAAGTATGGACCAAATCTGAAATCAAAAACATCAAATCAGATTATCTTTCTAAGTCAAGATCGAGAGACAAACTAAGCAATCTCACTCCTAAACTAGAACCAGCAAGAATAAGCAACACAAAGCACACAGACCTTTTCTCATAAAGAATAGCAGAGACAAGACTAGCGAAAGTCTCAGGCTTCATGTCTCTTTCTTCACGAAGCTGATACAGCTTATGACGAAACACCAAGCGTTGGTACCTTTCATCCATCCCCCAAAAGTTAAAAATCTTATACCAAGTTCAAAAAGAAATAAACATCTGTCAGAAGCTTTCTTATTTCTTACAGTGTTTGGACATCGGTGGCGAGACCAGAGAGGCCAATGAAGACACGATCGTGGATCTTGGAGATTCTCTTGAAATCGGTGGCGATTGTCTGAAGCTGCACACCGAGTCTACGATCACTGGCGATGGCGAAGCAGTTCTTCCCAACCATAGCCACAACGGCACTTCCATTGTACTCGAAGATCTGCAAATCGCCGCCATCGATTAGTTTAGTCAACAATGAATCGAACAAGAGAGTGTTACTGATCAACTTACCGACATCGGAAGATTAGGGTTTTCTGAGAGGAGACGATTGGAGTTTTCCTATCGGAGAAGAAATCTAAGACGGAGGAGAGAGTAAGTAAAGTCGACGGTGGCTTGGAAGAAACTCCAGCCTACTTCAATATAAGTTGTTGGGCCTATTAATGGGCCTATCATCTATATAGGCTATTAGAATGGCCTTTTCACTTTTTAGGACACCCACTAATCCAGTAATTAGATTAATTTATTATGTGATGCTTGTACACCACAAAGTAGAAAGTTTGAATCATAGAAAATGCGAGATATCATTAGTTATGCAGTCTCTTACATAAGATATTCAGTTAGCAAAACCATAAAAATGAATCTTTAAAAATCGATGTAGCCTGCTGCAACTAGAATCGAGATACGTGGATACAAACAATCAGAAGTAAGAATGAAAAGTTAACAAGTACAAATCAAGGTTTGAATGTCCTAAGAGAAAACGGTCAAGCGAAACAATGCTCTCTATGGAGAGGCTTCAGGCGTCAAAGCTAGAGCTTCATTACTTTCTTCCTTTCTGCAGTTTTGTCACGTTTAATGGGCTGGGAAAGAGTCTGCAAGAGAGCCTTCTGTGCGGGTAACTCAGCAATGAAAAGCAATGTTTGAGCCCAACCAGCATATTCCCCATATTTAGACACAAATGCTTCTGCCACTCGGCTGCAGAGTTTATGTGTCAGTTTGGCACCAGCAAGGTCTGGCACAAGGTACCTTGTGGCTATCTGGTTCAACAACACCCAAAACAAAAACAAAAGAGCTACTTTAGCCATCACCCAAAAACACTAGCTACATATAGTTTGATCTCAACTTATTTTTTTACCTGCCAGACATGTGTGTCAACGGGAATGGCACTATGCTGATCAAGAGAAAACAGAGCTATGCAAGCTGCTACTTTCGGACCAACACCAGGTAATGTACACAGAGCAGCAATCGCATCTTGAAGTTCCAATTTCCGTAGAGACAGAAGCCATTCATCTCCACCACGTGGTTTTGACTGCAAAGCACTCACTGTACCTGTTATGTACTTCGCTCTGCACAAGATGTAAACCAAAAATCCAAAGTTCCCTACTTTAAAACAGAACCAATCAAAGAAACAGGCCATGAAATGATTGAAAGGCGGTAACTTTAGATAGTAACAACCCACCTGTAACCAAAACCAGCCTTCCTAAGCTCATCCTCAGAAACCCTAGACAACCTTTCCAAAGACGGGAACTGATGAAACTCAAAACCTTCAACCTCACCCAGATACAACCCCAAAGACGACACGAAATCAACCATCTTCGTAATCCTCCCGATGTTATTATTCGACGAGCAAAGAAACTGAATCAAACACTCCAACGGATCCTGCCTCAGCACGCGCGCTCCTCTAAGATGCCTTGCCACCTCTCCGAAACGAGGATCCTTCATCTCGAAATCAGACCATAGCTCGGCTAACGAGATCTCCGCGTTGAGAAAATCGAGCAGCGCGAGCTCTGCTGCTCTAGGGCTTGTTTTGCTGCAATGGAGGCAGTATGAAACCGTGTCGTCTCCTGGACGCTGTCGGAGAGAGACGAGGTGAGGACCGATCGATCCGCTGTACTGAACCGGGCCGGTTTGTTTCCATCGGAATGTTTGGCCCGTGGGGAAAGTTAACGGTAACGTGAGCTCTGTTTGGGTGAGTTTTAATGGGAGCCAGTTTGGTGTTGTTCCTGTTCTGTGTAGCTTCTGTTTGAGAATCGGTGTGAGCGGTGGGGAGAGTGGTGGTTTAGCGGTGGCGGAGATCGACGGTGGAGATGGGGGTCGAGGTCTCTTCATCGCCGTTGCTTTTTTGACGGAATCGAATCACTTTTTTGTGCGCGACTGTTAACCAATACAACCGTTCTTTAATGTATTAGAGGAGGAGTACCCGGTTCAACCGACTTTTAACTATTCAAAATCGTACCAGCAAATTAGAAACGGATTTATAGAATTGGTTCGGTTTGATCTCTTCTTTTGATGATAAAAAATCACCAGCCTTCTGATTTCTCAAGTGTTTGGATTTTTGAAATTTCAAGCTTACCATATCAGTTTTAACCGACTGACATTTAAAATCAACCAAAACTAAACCGAGTGTAAACCGGAAATCGGATTCAAGGAAAGCTTGAATTGTAAATCCCAGACCTCATGTGTCCAAAACCTTCTGCCTCAAGAAGAAGGTTAGGTCTCGTCATCGAGGATGAATAAATATATAGCCTAGCGAAAGAAAATGGCAACAGAAAATAGGGAGGAGAGTTGCTGGTGTTACTCGGAATCTGGAAACGAGAGCAAGACTCGGAGCCTAGAAGGAAGAAGAAAGTAATTAAAGTATTAGTCAAAGCTCTTTGCTTTAATTCAATTTCTCACGAATCAGGAGAACCCACGCATCTTTCTCTCTCCACCCACAAAAAAAAAATGCCAGCTTCCGAAGGTAAATTACAAAAAGCAAACGACTTTCCATCTCTATCTCCCTCAAAATCCGATTTTTGATTAGGATTTGAATTACCCATGTTGATCGATCTTAGCCACGTGTATGAATTGATTTTCCGATTTGAGCTCCGTCGCAGATAGAAGAGGGAAATGGAAACGGCGGAGGCGAGGCGGGAGGAAACCTAAGCAAGAGGAGGAAGACATGGAGGAAGAAGACGACGACAACAACGAGGAGATGGAGGACGCTGATAATGCCGATGAGCTTCACCAAAACGGCGGCGCAGCACCCGATCCGGGACCCGGTATTAACGAAGTAGTTGAAGATTCCGGTACTCGGATCTCTGATTTTCCTTCTGTAGTCAGGCGCCTTGTGATCCGGCCACACGCTTCTGTAACGGCCATTGTGGCGGCTGAGAGGGGTTGTTTGAGAGGGGAGAGTAAAGGGCAAGTAGGCTTGCTTCCAGCTCTGGAGAATATTTCTTATGGGCAGTTACAGGCGTTGTCTACTGTACCTGCTGATTCTCTGTTTATTGATCCTGAGGGGAGTGATGGAGTGGGTTCTTCAGCTTATGTTATCTCTCCACCTCCTATTATGGAAGGAGAAGGTGTTGTTAAACGTTTTGGGGATAAGGTTCATGTCTTGCCTATGCATTCAGGTTCGCACTACTTTCACTTCGTGAGTTTGCATTGACTTGTTAAGTGTTAAGCTTAGATTGTCATACTTGTGATCTTTCTCTAAGATCTTTGTGTCGGTATGTTCCTAAGTGCTTAAGTTCTTATCTTTCTGAGTACTTGTTTATCTTATTTCTGCTTCGAGCTGTCCTTGGTGTCTTTAATGTACTTGCGCTATGTTCATCTAGACCTGTAGCTCAGTTACTTCCTGTTTTTCTCATTTGAGCAGCGTGGTTTGCACCAAACACAGTGGATCGGCTTGAGAGGCAAGTGGTGCCACAGTTCTTCTCTGGAAAATCACCTAATCATACACCAGAAAGTTATATGCACTTCAGGAATGCCATTGTTTCTAAATATACCGATAACCCTGAAAAGACACTGACGGTTTCTGATTGCCAAGGATTGGTACATGGTGTTGACGATGAAGATTTTGCACGAGTGTTCCGTTTTCTTGATCACTGGGGAATTATCAATTACTGTGCCACGTCCCAGTGTCATCCTGAGCCTTCCAGGGGTGTATCAGATGTTAGGGAGGATTCAAATGGTGAAGTCCATGTGCCATCTGCTGCTTTAACATCTATTGAGAGTTTGATCAAATTCGACAAGCCCATCTGTAGACACAAGGCAGATGAAGATCATTCGAATAGTGAACTCCCTGACTTGGACATAAGAATTCGTGAACACCTGTGCGATAACCATTGCAACCATTGTTCTCGACCGCTTCCTACTGTGTACTTCCAATCGCAAAAGAAGGTTCTTATACTACTTCATTTACTTACATGCTTTGTGTTTCATCATCTGAATTTTATCAGATGTAATAGACTCACAAACCTTATCTTGCTGAGTGTTTACAGGAGGATATAATGTTATGCACAGATTGTTTTCACAATGCAAGATTTGTTGCTGGACATTCTTGTATTGACTTTGTAAGAGTGGATATAACCAAAGATTACAGAGATCAAGATGGAGAAAACTGGAGTGATCAGGAAACGCTCTTGCTTCTTGAAGCTGTGGAACTCTACAATGAAAATTGGGTTCAGATTGCGGACCATGTTGGTTCCAAATCAAAAGCTCAATGCATTCTTCATTTTCTTCGTTTACCTGTGGAGGATGGTCTTCTGGATAACGTTGAGCTTCCAGGTGTAACTGATCCGGTAACAAATGGATATGACCATAAAGGAACAGATTCAAATGGGACTTTACCAGGTGATTTTGTTTACGTTCTTCTCAAACAATCTTTAGCTGTAGAGTTGCGTTGACATGCCATACTCATTGTAGACTTGCTTTTGCAGGATCTTCTGAGCAAGAATCTGACGCAGAGATCAATCTTCCATTTGTGCAGTCTCCGAATCCTGTTATGGCATTGGTTTGTGATTTTTTTTTTAACTGCAGAATCATATACGCTTCTCATTGTCCCTTAATGGTCGGACCACAGATAAAGATATCTGATCGATTGATCTGAAACTTAACTTGTATGCTAAATTTAGAGAGGAAAATTTGGTCCGCTATTAACTGTGAGTGTGGGGATATGATGATCCTGATACCTAAACATTTTTAGGTAGCATTTTTGGCATCAGCTGTTGGACCTAGAGTTGCTTCGTCTTGTGCGCATGAGTCCCTCGTGGTTTTATCTGCAGATGATAGGTTAGTGTGTTTCCGTGATCACTATCCATTTTCTAAGTCTTTTTGTGGTAGCGCGCTCCTTCAACTTCTTTTTCTATTACATCATATGGACTATGCTGAAACTTTTCAATCTATTAAGGTTGAAATCTGATGGCTCGCAAGGAAAAGATCTCAGGTTGCATGATGGAGAGAATCAACAGTTAGATGGTAAGGCAGTTGCTAGATGGTTCACTTAAAAATATTTTTTTTTAATGTTTTTAACCTAATTGTCAATTCATATCTCCTTTGATGGTAAAAGAAACACCATGCCAAAACGGAGCAGAAGCACCTACTCCTTTGCCACAGGACAAGGTTATGGCTGCATTTAGAGCCGGTCTATCAGCTGCAGCAACAAAAGCAAAGTTGTTTGCTGATCATGAGGAACGTGAAATCCAAAGGCTTTCTGCAAATATAGTAAATCACCAGGTATATGTATAATGCTGTTGCTGTTGATAATTTATAATGCTTGTTTGATTTGTTTTGTTGATAGTGTTAATTGCTGATGTTGCAGCTTAAGAGGATGGAGCTGAAACTGAAGCAGTTTGCAGAAATAGAAACGTTGTTGATGAAAGAATGCGAACAAGTAGAGAAAACCCGTCAGAGATTTGCCGCAGAACGAGCTCGTATGCTATCAGCAAGATTTGGATCACATGGAGGAATCTCTCTACAGAGTAGTAACACTAATAATCCTCAAGTGATGTCTCTCTCCACAGGTGGTGGTAACAACATCAATACTCTCCTCCAACAACAACAGCAAGTTTCAGCTGGCTCTTCTCAACCAATCAACATCCCGGGATTCAGCAACAACCCGCAACTTCATGCGCAGATGCAGTTCATGGCACGCCAACAACAACAACAACAGCAAGCATTCTCCTTTGGCCCGAGATTGCCTCTCAATGCAATACAGACCAATGCAGGATCAACGCCTTCACCGAATGTCATGTTTGGCAACAGCCAACTTAATAATAACCCTGCAGGAGCAGCATCCATCAACCAACCTTCATTCACCAACCCGATGGTTAGATCTTCCACTGGTTCTGCCTCCGGGTCCGGCTTAGGCTTAAACTAAAAAAACTATCTCTTTTAGCTTATCAGTTTCCAAAATTATTTTGAGCTCAAGTTATCGTCTTTGAGACCGTAGTGTTGTTATAAATTAGTGTAATATCAAACCTCTTATTGTGAAGTAAAAACAGTTCTCTATATAAAAATCGTTTGCAACTGATGTGCCATTATCGACTATGTTCCACAGTTTTAGGACAACGAATGTAACATAAGCTACAACAAAGGTCTTTTTTTTTTTTTTTTTTTTGGGCAACAAGCTACAAGAAAGGTCTTATTCTAAAAAATCCATATTGATAAAGGAAGAAAGAAACATATGTACACACATACATTTTTATTCTAACCAAGATGCGCACGAGCCATCATTAACATCACTTTTCTCTCAGACAAGCTTAGATCCGACTCGTTAAGTTTCAGAGAAGATGAAGAAGAAGGCGACGATAACGGGGAGCTCCAGCTCGTGGCTACCGATGATCCCCTGCTTGAACCTTCCGAGGGAGAAAACGTCGTCCCCGATTCATAAAAGTCATCAGACTCCGATGATGTCGAACCCTCACCGTTCTTTTTCTTACTCTTCTTCTTCTTCATCCCGATCAGTGACTTGAGAAGACGCCACCGATGCAGAGCAGAATCTGAATCGAGTTTACCTCCAGGTGATGTACTTCGCCAATAAGGAGGCGGAGGTCCTGACGAAGACGGCGGTTTCGCCTTGAAATACGGAGGAGGAGGAGCGAAGGGAGAGACCGCGCGTGGTGGTTTTGGAGATGACGGAGCTGAAGACGACGGAGGAAGTTCTTTTAATCGGAGAGGATGGAGTTTTTTGGGAGGTTGAAGGAGGAGAGTGGGAACATCATCATCATCGGGTTTAGGATCTCGGGTCTTGGGAATACCGGGTCGGATCTCCCAGTTAAACGGCACAGCTCCTGGTTTCTTGAA